CGCTAATAATACATATACAAAAGTTTTACCTATGAACTAATTTTTATTTTTTAATAAACCGTTTTGATTAATTGAGAAATGCGGGCAACTGATGAGGCTCAACCAAAAAAGTTACTGGAGACCTCAGTTACACCAGTTACGGGGAAAAAAAACTACTCCAAATCATCACATATTCACATGGATCACAACGAAGAAAAATTAACCAAAAGCTTATAATAATCCGGTAATCTCCCTCCAAAAACAGTAGCTCTGCTCGCCTAATCGTTTTTCCAGCGTGAGGCAGCCGCCACGCGACGTCGCGGCGATTCCACGGGCCGTCGCGTTGCTGACTCGGATCCCCGCCAACGCGCGCCGGTGCGCGGGGTGGGGATATTTTTTTTAGCACCGCGGCTCTATCTCTCTACGCGCGGGAGGGGTGGGCCCCACCTGCGAGTGTGACACCAGGGCGTGGGCCCCGCGGTGACGTGGACGCTGCCTGCATAATTGCAGGCAAGAGAGGAGGCTAGCTGGTGATCGTGATGCATATAGGGTTTGGTTTGGTTGGTGGCCTAAATAGGTCTTACCAAATTTTATTAGTACTAAATTTTGGTAAGTTTTAATATGACTAATTTTAGTAAGGTAAAGTTGTGTTTGGATTGAAATCAAAATAGCCTAAGTTCACAATTGAAATGTCCTATTTTCTTAGGCATGTCAAAATTTGGCTTCAAAATAAATAGACACTAAACACTATTAAAATTATTAAATATTGGTAAGTCTAATTTAGACCTCAAACCAAACCAGCTCATAGTGAGAGAGCTGTACTAGGAAAGCTCCGTACATATCTCCCTCATCTTTCTTTTTTTTTTACAGCTTTCCTGCCTTGTGGGGTCTGTTTTGGATTTTAATAGTAGTATTTGGGGGTTTGTGAGTGTGACATGAGTTTGACAAGTCACCTATAATGTCACGGTAATTCTGGAGTAATAATGCTGTGGTAATACTCCGGTGTAATTTGATTAGTTAATGTTTTCTAGCCTCTGTATATAGGCGCACAGACAGTCATTTATGCGTACCACATATCCCATGACTACCTTCGAGTTTCATAAGGATATCATATACATTTCGCTTCTAACGAGTACTATCTCCATATTTTAATATATGATGCCGTTGACTTTTTATCTAACGTTTGAACATTCGCCATATTTAAAAAATTATGTAATTATTATTTATTTTATTATGACTTGATTCGTCATCAAATATTTTTTTAAGCATGACATAAATATTTTTATATTTATAAAAATAAAAATTAAATAAAACAAATGGTTAAACGTTGATCGAAAAATCAATGGCGTCATATATATTTAGAAGGAGTACATTGTTTGCAACAATAAAAGAAACAGAGAGGGGATATGTTGATCTGTGGATGCATCGAGAAAAGGCTCTCGGATAAAATTTGTTGATGTGTTTGATTTTTTTCTTTTCTTTTTCTTTTTCCTGGGCGTGTTGATTCCAATGATTTGTGTGCTCGACGGATCAAAACGTTACACGTTTGCACACCATCCGAACTTACCCTGGCTGCGTCATCGCCACGTGTATAAAATGTATATCTTATAGGTACACGTCGGATAACTAATCCGGGATACGGACGAGTGGTATGGACTGCACCGGTTTTGGAGTTCGGACCAAACTTGCCAACTTCTGGACGCTTTTCGCTTTTAAAAAACTTGTTTATTTTTGCCGTTTGGGCCTCATCAAAGAACACTTCATCACCTCAATTTTATTCCGCTTCAAATAAATAAATATTTACTCCTATACGTTCAAAACCAAAATTTTCACTGAGGGCCTGTTTGGTACAGCTCCAACTCCTAAATTTAACTCCAGGAGTTGAGTCTGGAGTGGAGTTGTGGAGCTGCCTAAACCCAGCTCCACAACTCTAGTTCATTTTGTGAGAAGGCTCCACCCAATTCCACTCCCAGTTTTGGTGGAGCCGAAACTGTTTGGCTGAGCTCCAGCTCTAGAAGGGGTGAAGCTGGAGCTGGAGCTGTGCCAAACAGGGCCTGAATAAACCCGATCGAGCTTAACTCGAGAAATCTCGTAAAGTCATCCTGTACTTGATCTAATATCTATAAGTACGCACATTAAACAAAGATCATTTTGGATTTGTTAACTCTAAGATTTCGCTAGCCTTTTTGGTTTACACCTAAACAAATCTCTTACTCCAAGCAGTGACGAAATGACGGCACAGAAAGCGGGATGTTAATCTAGGCGTGACAGAGACCGGGGTGACGGCTGGAGCATTCGAGAGAGATAAAGCTACTCCTAGTAGAAAACAAAATGGTCTCACGTCTCATGTTCCATCGATCGATAATTCCAGGACAAAAAAAATGCACAGTACTAGCAGCCACCAGCTATAACCACTCTCTGACGGCCACAATTGCTCGCCCACTTCTTCAGAACGATTTTCCTGCGCTACGTGTGCAGGCTAATTCTCTGGAGACAGATTAGCTTAATCCTCTCTCGCTCTGGAACACTAACTGTGGCTGTCATGTCATGTTCATGTCACGGCTTCCCCGAATGCGCTAATATTCCCGTGAGATCTCGCTTTTTGACGGGGAATCGAGCGTGATATCGCCTCACTACTGAGGCTGGCTAGTTTGGGATACTACTCCCTCCGTTCCATAATATAACAGATTTTGAGATTTTTTTGTTTGTACTGTTTGACTATTCGTTTTATTTTAAAAATTTAAAATTATTATTTATTTTTTTTACTTACTTTATTATCTAAAATATTTTAAGCACAACTTGTCGTTTTTTATATTTGGATAAATTTTTTTAATAAGATAAGTGGTCAAACAGTATAAGTAAAAACTCAAAATCCATTATACTATGGAATGGAGGGAGTAGTAACTAAGATTGGTATTTGGTTGGCTTTTGGGATTGGCGGCTGATTGGTTTAGTTTAGCGTGGCTGAAAGGTACGGTTTCTCGGTCGATTGATGGGGTATTGGCGTATTGCTACAGTCTAACTGTGATATGATTAATGTGAATGGACAACAAAAAAAAAATTGCAGTGAAGGAGTGACACAGATGTGGATGCTGGTCAGTGACAGATGCAGGCAGTGTTGTTTTTGTGTACTAGTAGTACTTACCGTGCTATGGTTCATCAAGGTGGTTTGTGCTATGGCATGTGCTGGGTGTCGTGCCAATCAGGTGTGAATATAGGAAATTGGTTCGTCAGTATCATCGTGTCATAATAAATTAATTTTGCTCCATTCTTAAACAGTTTAATCATATATTATGTTGGAGGTTGTCGCGGTCGATTGAACTCGACGGTATTGTACTCTAGCTCGGTCTCCGTATCATTCTCCTATTTTTATTGAACTGTTTAGAAAGGTTGCAAATGCATAGTACATATAAGAGGTTCGTTGCCTGTAGGGATATACACTCATACAAGTTTAATGTGTCTTAAAAAAAAACTTGTCACAACTATTTTATGCATGAATGTCATATGATTTCTATCGTGTAATATCAAATTTGTTGTACTAAAGTTATGGTTTACAATATTGGGACCATTCGGCTGCTGATTTGCCACTGTGTTAAACAGTGCTACACAAACAGAGTAACTGCAAAACGGCAGCCGCAACCCTAGTTTCAGCCTACCGAACAATCCCATTGAGTGTACTCTTCAAGTTTCCACCGAAAACTATATTAAATTGTTCTAGGAGGTTGCGAATGCCAGACAGTTCACATGGTGTTGCGTTATACATCACACACTACGGTTCAAACTCTCTTAGCACTCGTTCATCGTTTGGAGGGGTCCATACACGTGTACAAATTCAGGGGATGTATGTGATCACTCGGTATGGCGTATAGCGCCATTGACACCTGTTGAGCACACGTAAAAGATATATACTATGATGGCGTAAATGCAATATGCGGTAAGTACACTAGGTTGAGTGTACTCATCCAATTTTGTTTAAAAGAAAATGCTAAACGTTTTCTAGAAGATTGCCAATAAAAGCTGTCAGTTTAGTGTTCATCGGCTGTAAGGATGGACACATGTATGGTGGTATGGGTTCAGAGGACGTGTATGTGATACCCATATGGCGTCTAGCACTAGTGACAGTTGTCGACACCATGAGTAAAATATACGTGTTATTGTGGCTATAAGTGGAATGTGCGGTGAGCGAGCGCGTCCAGTTACTTTTAAAATTGCTATTAACCCCTTTAGAAATGTTTATTAATTATCTAGAGCATATAGAATTCAGAAATTCAAAATAACACATGGCTGTAGTTAAACCTGAAAGCTACATACCCTATTATAAGCAACAAATTATCCTTTCCACAATAGGTGGGAAAAGGATGCCAAAAATAGATAACCATTCCTTTATTATCCACTGTAATTAAAATCGGTATGTCAAAAAATCACCCTTTATCCACTGTTGGATTATTGCAGGGATACTGAGCTGCAGTATCAATTCGCGCGTATTTTTATACCGAAGAAATTAAGGATAGGGTAAAATTTCTGCTTCAAATTTCCCATCCTGTCCTTAAGCCGTACGACACCCTCAAGGGCAAATCCGGAAAGCTCCAGGAGATATACCAGACCTGCCACGGCCCACTACCACTACAACTGTATCCTACTGTGACACGCTCCATGGACCAACCCCACGAGCCAATATCCATGGACCGGATCGCTGACACGTGGCGTACCACGTTACATAAAATCCGCCCGGTGCATGGACCGCGTCCACGGAGACGCACCTCCTCCCGCCTCGTCGTGGCGGCTCATTTAATCCAATCTGTTAGTAACATTAATTAATTGTGGATTAATAAAAAAAATCTCGTTCCGTAAATTTACGAGTTAACCCTTGTCCATCTGGTGGTGTTACGGCTGTATTTTACGGAAAGGTCCCTGTAAAAGGACTGGGATGTAAATATTTGGTTTTGTAGGGGTTGGTTTGGGAAAATTGGAAAGCAAGAACTTGTCCTATCCATGGTTATTAACCACCCCCTCTCCTTCCTTCCTTTCTCCACGCTTTCCTCTCGTCCTCTTTATATTTCTCTTCTTCTTCCTCCCTTCCCCTTCCTCTCCTCTCCTCTCCTCTCCGTCTTCCAAAGCTCGCGGCCTTCTCGCTTTCGATTTCTCTCTCTCGCGGACAGCGTGAATTCGAGGGATTTCTTGGCTGGTTTGGTTGTGGATTGGATTGGATTGGGTTTCTGTGTGTGGAGGTGTGTGTGATTAGAAGCTTTTGCGACTGGAGGAGGAGGAGAGATGGGGGCGGGGGTGTCGGGCCTGTTCGGATTGGGCGGCGACGAGGGGGAGACGTCGGCGGCGGTTGGTGGTGCCGCGGCGGCGGGTCTGGGCGACCTGCCGGAGCTGTGCGCGGCGGAGGTGCTGCTCCGGCTCGACGCGCCGGAGATCTGCCGGCTCGCGCGGCTCAACCACGCGTTCCGCGGCGCGGCCGGGGCGGATTTCGTGTGGGAGGCCAAGCTGCCGGAGAACTACCGGTATCTGATGAGCTTCGTGGAGGGCGGCGGCGGCGGCGACGACGGGAGGCAGCTGCGGCGGCGGCGGTGGCGGCCGGCTGGGAAGAAGGAGATCTACGCGAGGCTGGCTAGGCCTGTGCCCTTCGATGGCGGCTCAAAGGTATGATGAAAATTTCCCCCTTTTGATGTTTCTTTTCTTTCCATGTAGTAGTTGAAAGTTGAAACTATATGAAACACGTTCGTGGGATTGAAATTTTTTTTTGTCTGCAATTAATTGTTGGTGATTAGTCGCTGTTTTTTTTTTGTGGGGATTGAAACGTTTTCTCTTTGTGCCATGCCGTGTGTTTTAATCATAGCATGTTTTTGTTTTTTTCATTTGCAAAGTGATAAACCTGAACCGCTCCAAAACTAACCAATTGTCCTTTTTACCTTACGATAATCGTGATTCGGTACTTTTAGCATCCAAAGGACAGAGATTTTTTTTAGTAATAAAAGTATTTTTAGTAGAAAACGCTTAGCTTTGCTAAATTTTCTGTCTTCTTGTTAATTGCAGGAGTTCTGGCTGGAGAAGAGCAAAGGCAGGGTTTGCATGGCGCTATCCTCCAAATCTCTGGTGATAACTGGGATTGATGATAGGAGATACTGGCAACACATTCCAACTGCCGAATCGAGGTAATTATCGCTTTGATCTGATATTCACTAGTAATATTTATCTGTTCCTCTGTGTCTTTTTTTTTCAGAAAGATGATATGATAAGATCGTATGAGTTGCTACTTGCATCGTGATGATGTCACAAAATATCTCATGGTGTGATTGACCTGTTCCTAGTTTCTTGTAGAAAATTAATGAATGAGACCATATAGCTATTTATTTTTTTTGCTTTCTTTTTTACTCGTGTATTCAACTCACAAAGTGTACCCTTAGTTCTGAAACATAATGATATGTTTGGCTGTATGAGCATGTTCTCAATTGTTCGGGATAGTGTTCTTGTAACATGCTTATGTTGTTTGTTGCTCTAATACACGAGACATGAAATCAAATGGTTGAATAATATATATCTTATTGCTGCTGTCGAAATGTAATGTAGCTGCAGTCTTTCCAAGTGATGGCATAAGAAGTATGTATCTACTCTGTGCCAGTGGAAGATATTGACTGTGGATACATCATACAAATGTATTCATCTATTCAAACTCAATTACGGTTGAGGACATCATATGTTCTGGATCCAACCTTACCTATGCTTTCTTGTTTTGTTCATGCAGATTTTATTCTGTGGCATACCTTCAGCAAATCTGGTGGTTTGAAGTGGTTGGAGAGATCGATTTCAGCTTCCCTGTTGGAACCTACAGCTTATACTTCAGGATTCATCTCGGGAAGTTCTACAAGCGATTTGGACGCCGAGTTTGCAGCACTGAGCATGTCCATGGTTGGGACAAGAAGCCTGTTCGCTTCCAGCTCTCCACCTCTGATGGGCAGCACTCATTATCTCAGTGCTCCCTGGGTGAGCCCGGGAGTTGGGTACTTTACCATGCAGGCGATTTTGTGGTCTCAAAGCCTGACCAAACAATCAAGCTGAAGTTCTCGATGGCGCAGATCGATTGCACACACACAAAAGGTGGTCTTTGTGTCGACTCGGCGTTCATATACCCAAAGGGCTTTCAGCAGGAGAGGATGGTCAGGTCTCAGAAATGTAGATGTTGAGAAGGAACTTACATTAGATTGTAGACAAATGCAGCTTGCAGCCTAATTCTATTTTTAATTTGGGCTCATGTATGCGCGGCGAAAGGTGTATATAATTGTAGGCTTCAATTTTGTGTGATCGGTAACATGAATGTGCTTTGTGTGTCCATTTTCCCATGGTTTTTCCCCCTCCCTGGAGCTAAATGGGTCTTCAAGTTACCCATGAAAGATTCTACCAAATTGAGATCAGAAAATGTTGTTTACCTTTCTCCAATTGCGATACGTTGTTCTGGTGTTTTTTTCATTTCCATCCATTGTCACTGTTTTTTACTACTGATATCCAAATTTGACTTGCTTCAGGCACCTTTTGAAATACAAAAAGTTCTATGAATTTCTGTGGAAAATTCAGATGAGATCAATGAGCCAGTTTCCTTTGCAGAGACAGGACTTACTGTATTGCTTTGACTATCAACACTCTTTACCCAGTTTCTTCCTGCAGTCAGATTTGGCGAGCTTGGAAAATTCGATCTGATATTGACATGAACTGACATTGATAAGCCCATCATCAGTTAGCATAGCATGATCAAATTAAAACCTTTCCTGTTGCTAGGTGCGTGTACTTAAGTACTCTCCATGGCCGTGGAGGGCAGGCAAGATCCTGTTCCTAGGTGCGTCACACATCGATCGATCAGGATGATGATAAGAGAATGAATCAGTGGGCGACAGTGCATGTTGGGTGTTGTCCGATCAGAAAGCTTGTTGCCGAACTCGCATGCTTGTCCTTCTTTTCTTGTCCGGACTATTCAGCTGTCACATGCAGACATGCTGCCAGCAGCTTTACATTTGCATTTCGCTTGGGTGATCTCTCTTTCATCGTCATCAGCATGATCTAATCCTTCTCACCAGTACTTTGTAGAGAGATGCCCTCCTTTTCCAGATTAATAAACGGTTTGAATTCATGTATTATTATTGTTATGGTCCAAATTATAAACAAACTTGCACCAACTGGTGATTGAACATAATGTTTCTTCTGTCTGTTCTGAATTTTACACATTTATAACTTGTACTAGCATGGTTTGCCGGTTTCTGTCAGTCTGTCAATGTGTGCTCTAAACTTTACCTGGTGAGTTTGGGCTAAATGTAATCTATGGCAACTTGCGGATGACTGAGGAAACCAAGGGAATCCAATGGTGCAATTCTCAGTTGGCGAAGAAGCTTTCGGCGTGCCCAAGGATTGGACTCATCATCACTCATCTGTGTTGCCCACATTGCGGTTGCTATGGCCGACCTTTTTGCCGATACCGGCATTGCCGCCATGAGCTTGTCTCGGCATTGTCCCCCTATACTTGGGCTACTTTCACTGGGAATCTGAGGGAGACCCCTCTTTTCCATGCTACGGTGAACGTTCGTCGAATCTGAGCCATCCGTTGGTTCAGCTGGTACTCGATTTCTCTGAAGAACAGCAGTCGTAGGCTCATGTGAGGGCTGGTTTCGAACTTTGAGGACAGTGTGATCCCCATTAGATCAGGATCCTTTACCTTCAAACTTAGATACACATGTCAAGGAGAAAGACACGATAAGGTAGAGGATCTCGCAGCCCCATCGTTTCGCTTATTTTGGAAATAAGCCAAAAGACATATTTACAAACAAAAAAACAATCTAAATGCAAAGTCTGAAAATAAACTTCGATATAAAAACACTAAAATTAACTCTAAATTTGAAGATAAACATAATTGAAAACTGAAAAGATGATTCCCTTAATCTGATCACCATCAGCAACCAACAACATTTTTGATCCTTCGATTGCTCAGCAGCTCAGGAAACTGTGTGTTCGTGTGCCTTTGGTCTACAGATGGATGCTAGAACTTTCTGCTCCAAACAAACGCGTTTACATACTCGTGTAATTTCAGAACCAGCTCGATTTGGACAGGTTGACCAAGTAATAAAACCAGCCAATTTTCCTCTCAAAGTTAGCGCTTGTTTAGTTCGCGAAATGAAAATTTTTGTGTGTCACATCGAATGTTTGACCGGGTGTCGGAAGAGGTTTTTGGACACGAATGAAAAAACTAATTTCATAACTCGCCTGGAAACCGCGAGACGAATCTTTTGAGCCTAATTAATCTGTCATTAGCACATGTAGGTTACTGTAGTACTTATGGTTAATCATGGAATAATTAGGCTCAAAAGATTCATCTTACGATTTCCTCCATAACCGTCCAATTAGTTTTTCTTTTAATCTATATTTAATGCTCAATGCATGTGTCCAAAGATTCGATGTGATGTTTTTGGGAAAAACTTTTGAGGAACTAAACGGGCCCTTAGGTGAGTGAAAATATTTGGACTTTTAACCTCGACGACGGAGCGTCAAACTGCTAAAAGCCGAAGCAAAACGCGTTGCTCATCTGCATTGAATTGTAGTATAATAATACTGCATTTACTGGTGGTAGTACCGCGTAAATCCCCAGTACTTGCCGCATTTGACTGGCCGCGTACAAAGCCCAAGGCCCAACCACGCGGCGTCGGTGGGCCGGCGGCCTTACGGGCTACAAAAAATTAAGTGGGCCTCCGCGTGAGCGAACACTGGTTCTCTATTGGGCCGTGAGAAAGCCCAAACTAAAAGGACGCAGCATGGATTCGTGGCCTTTTGACGCCTACAATACAAGCCCAAAATATCAGCCCAGATATGAGGGGGAAATCCTCCCACCGCCGCGGCGGCAGCCAACCAAATCCGCACCAACCACACCATGCCTCTCCTCGCCCGCGCGCCACCGCCTCCACCACCGCTCCGCCACCGCGGCCGCCTCCTCCCGCGCTTCACCTCCTCCTCCAGTCCCCGCCGCCGCCGCCGCCCACGCGCCGCCCGCGTCCGCGCCTCCGGCTCCGACCCGCCGCCGCAGCAGCAGCAGCAGCAGGTCAACCTCTCCGTCCTCCGCTTCACCCTCGGTAATAACCCCCACTCCCCTCCCTCCGCCGCGGCGGCGAGCTGGTTGGTTGGTTTCCTGACGGCGATGGTGGCGCGCGCGCAGGGATTCCCGGGCTGGACGAGTCGTACCTCCCGCGGTGGATAGGCCTCGGCTTCGGCGCCCTCGTGCTCCTCAACCACCTCCTCTCCCCGTCGCCCACCCCCGCGCAGCTCGTCGGTACCCTCGTGTTCCTCTTACATTTGCAGCTATGGTATGTCCAGGCTTGATGGTTTATGTGAAATTGCAGAGGTCGGAGGCACTCGGGCTGTGCCTGGCCGCGTTCTCGGCGACTCTGCCGTACCTCGGGAGGTTCCTAGAGGTGGGGAACGAGATGGTGCCCTCATGGTGTTTGATGAAATGGTGCATTGTGTTGGTGTTGGATGTTGAGAAGGGGAAAATGAGTGATTGGTGATTTTGGTTGGTGTAGGGTGCTGGTGCTGCTGAACGTGTGCCCTTGCCTGAGGGGAGCAGGCAGGTGTTTGCCATGTCTGATAGCCTGTCAGCAGCACAGAAGGAGGACATGGCGTGGGCTTCGTACGTCCTGCTGCGGAACACAAACACCACATCTGTCGTACGTTCTTTCCGGTCATACTTGCTTGAATTTCGCTTGATGGGATGTGCAGTGCTGACCAAAATGTGATGTGTTAGCCTGTTAGGTGCTGTCATACTTGCTTGAATTTCGCTTGATGGGATGTGCTGACCAAAATGTGATGTGTTAGCCTTTTAGGTGCTCCTTTTCCAGCTTTCAAAACCAGGTGGTTGAAGTGTTTGTTTGTGGTACTTATGCTCCAGTTTCAAGCTACTAAACAGTTAATTTTAATTTCCATGGAAAAAAATAGATAGCAACCTTTCATTTGTTTTTCCATGACAAGCTTAAGACCTGGTTGTTCCAGCTTGCTGCTATATGATGCTTAGAAGAAAACATCGGTACCTAGCTTCTAGCTTACTATAGAATATAGACATGCCCTAGGATTGTGTTGCAGTGCAGTAAATGGTTGATCTTATTTCTTCTATGGGTGTACGAATTGGCAACAATACATTGTTCTGTAATTGTGTATCTAGACTCCATTTGAATGTAGGTACTGATCCTCCATCTCCACACTCCATTTCTTATGGATTGCTCTGTAATTTTCTTTCATATAAACGCTAGAGTCTAGACCCTCCATATGTTGTTTGCTTCTTATTGGCCCTGTAACCACATTGCAAGTTTGCAACAAGAAAGGTCCAAGATGACCAGATATTTTTTTTCCTTGAATAATAGAGGAGAGCTGCATATCATTTCATTAAGAAGAGAGCATACCGAAATGTTTTTGTTTTTAGAATATAGGTAACAGGACCTGGCTAGGCTTATATAGAAAGCCATATTGGCAGAGTCAGCTGGAGTTGCCAGCATACATTTGCAGCACAGGTATCTGAAGAAAGAAAAACCTCAATCACTGGTCACAGCCTGACCATGAAGTACCGAAAGGTACAACACACAACACCATGTATACACCACACCTTCCTAACAGAAGAAGTACTTGTGGTGTTAGCTAGCTTGTACTTCATCATTCCCATGATGACTGGATATATTGTCCTGTATATATGTAGTGTATGAGTTAATTTTACAATTAACTCGTGTAGACACCATCAGTTCTTAAAAGAGGTGAAGGGTTTGTTTGATGTGAAACCACATTATTGTTTTGAACATCGTTAGGGCATGTAGAATACATTTAACATCGTTAATGTTAGAGCATTCTCTAACATTAACGAAGCTAGTAGTAGTTAAAATAATTGAGCAGTTATAGGGATAGCAAAGTTTGCATGCTATGGAAATGTGAAATAGTGGATGATTTTTCCATGTATGGCAGTTTTTTAGTTCTTGTGTCAAATCTGTTTGGAGCAGTTGTAACTTTTTAACTGATCAGATGTCTTACACTCACCTTAGTTTTGATTCTTGCTAGCTCATATCAATTGGCAATCAGTTGTGCATACGAGGATATTGGGATCCGCCTGAAGATATTTCCAAATATGCCATGATTGAGTGGTTCAAAAGTCAGATGCAGGAAGCTGGAATTGTTGATTTGAGGGAGGATTTGTACTTCCCTACCTTTTCTGGTAAATGCCACTCTCTTAGGCCCTGCAGAATGCCAGAGCATATTTCTATGTTTAAGTTTTGTTCTTTTCTCCCCCTTTTCTGGCATAAGTGAGTCTCTGCAACTGTTTTCTTGTAACAAATGGCAAAGATTTGTATGTGTGGAACTGTGGGTTGATAACATTGAGATGAATGCATGAAGCATCATACCGTTTGTGCTGAAATTCAGTATGGTCGTCTGGTAGCTTTAATAGTGTTTCAGGTTGCATGTCGTATGGTTTTGTGCACATGTGAACTGTTTTATTGTGCTAAATAACTATGTGAAGTTTACTTCACATTAAGTGTATAGGAACCACATACTGATGCTATGCTGGCTGATAAAAGTCATGATTATTTTATTGCTGCCTCTAAAATGTTCATAGCATTGTTTTTTTTAATCCATATTCCACATCTTTCAGTTAATTGTGTCTTGTACTGAACTAAGAACTCTGCTTTGAACAGACACTCAGCTTGGGAAGCTTCTCCCACAGGGGATTCTTTCTGTGCTGGCACAACCAGTTCTAAACAACCCTGATCCAACTAACAGTGAAATAAAAGCTGAAGGTTTCATCCTACTGGCGTCCAATTCGAGTTACGCATACAGCGAGAAACATAGGGTTTGGATTAGAACAGTTGCGAATAAATTTCAATGTACATAATTCAGAGATACTGAAGGTATTCCTATATCTTGAAACCATGTTTTTTTTTTCTTTTTTCAGCTATATGAACTTGAAATTTTGCAATCATTTATTTTGAACACCGTTGTAGCCACCTATCCAATATTAGGCCTATGCAATAAACTATTGACAAAATGTATCCTTTAGAGCCTGTATTAGGTTCCTAGTAAATTTGACTGACTTGTACAAATCTATGGAAATTCTGATTCTGAGCAGTAGTGTAAAATAGTTTCACCAAACTTTGGTGTGTAAAGTAAAATCAACATATACAAATATATGTGATCCAAGAAGATATCTTTATGCTTCCATAGTTCCATATCCTGAGAACATCTTGTTCAGATTTTTTTGGGTAGATAATGGAAGCTTTTATTAATCAGTCAATTACATTAAGGTGATGTTGTTAAGATCTATACGTTGTTGGTAAGTTAAAATCTGAACATCCTATCTATGCATAACATGTAGTTTGTGAAAGCCTCCTGTAATGCTTCATTTGTTACAACTGTTGCGATGTGTAAATAATGTTTGGCATCGTTTGCAAGAGACAAAATTGTTCGCAACTGTTGAATGCAGCTGTCCTGTTATAGATGCAAGGAAGATTGGTTAATCAATGTGAATTACTAGAGTACCGACAAGGATGAAGATTTTTCTGGTGAAGATGGATGGACGTGTCATTAGTTAGTTGAGGTGTCAGAAGCTAACCCCATATACTGGCATGTGCAAGTAGGACATATTAATCTTTATGGAAAGCAATGCCTATTCCTGACGCTTTAAATGTCTCAAGCAATTAAATTGACTCATACTGTAAAAGGTTTGGGGAAAAGGCAATTATGATAAGCGTGTCATTTTTTCGCCTTTTCACTGACTGCTTTGTTACTCTGACAGCATTTTAGTGGCTCAAATAAAGCAGTTAAATCTTAAGTATGTTATCATCGGAATAGTACCTTTGAGTTATGTGGTATGTGATGCCTATTCTCCAAATATTCACACATTCTCATTGGATCACCTAGAATTGATCTGTTTCCATCTTGCAAGCCAGCAACAACATATGTTTATAATTGTCGTCGCAATCGAAGGATTCGATCAAGTTATTGATGACCATACCTCTTGCAGTTACAGCTAAAAGGACATAATGAACAATTTGAGGACAATCTTCAATAGGAGATGGAGACATCAGGCGCATATGGTGAATGCTTGTGCTTGTGGAGCACAGAGCTGTCGGTTGACGCCGCGGCCCAAAATTTTCCCCGGCCTTTACAATGGCGCTAACCACTCTTTGCCAGCTGAAGCTTGGTATAGTTAAGAGCAGGTGAGCCATTCTCACTGCATTATTGTCCCGTGACATGAGCTGCAGTGTTTTTCTTGTGGATCCACTTTGTGCATTCAAATCCCATGCCATGTAGCCTCAGGTGCACATGGATCTCAACAATCCTCTGTTTTGTGTAGAAGCCTGCTGCTGCGTCCCGTAATTAAGCTCAGATTGAATTATTGATCTCCTCTACCGCCAAAATGCGTACACCGGTGTTTAAATGCGTGCAGCCGGATGTAGTTGATGCAGTCTGTATTGGGTACTCTGCAGTACCCGGTTTGCCGTGTGTACAATGTCACGCTGGACATTGGTTAGGCCCTCTTTGTTTAGGCTTAGGCTTATTGGCCTAGACTTTTAAGTTAGCTTATTGGCTTATATGATTTATAAGCCGGTGGATTTAATGTCCTAAGTTTAGTGGTTGAGCCATACATCTACCTCACATAAGCAAAAAAAAGCTTCTCCAACCTAGCTTTTGGCTTAATAGTGTTAGAGTGGCTTATGGCTTCAAAAAAGACAAACGGAAAAGCTGCCTGTTTGTTTAGGCTTAGACTTTTCGACTTATAAGTTGTCTTATAAGCCTAGCCGATGGTCCTCTCCTCCCCCTTTTTTGTGAACTGCCAGCAGGTGACCTATGATAAAGAGAGGTCGATGCATCATGTCCTGTTTGCATCTCCATGACTCCATGCGTATGTACAGTTTCTGCTTCAATGCTGCAACAGATAATGATGGAAGAGGTAGTTGGAAATGTCCTGTTATTAACACGCTGATAATGATATGGTTATTGGATCGGTGAGACCTGGTTGGCTGGTTGGCTCACAAGGCTCAACTGTCAAATGCAGGTGATCTCAACGGTAACTGATCGAGTGAGCTCGCGCTGCACTGCAACTGAAAGCCTGGGGATTGTTACTGATTGGCGATGGACCTGGAGACAGAGACAGTGACATTCGCGTGCAACGTACTACTCCTGCTTAACCTCTGGAGTAGGGCATCATCAAGCATTAATCGCCTCCTTTCCAACACGTACAATTACCCCCTTGGAAATCAATCAGCTGGGGCATTCAGATGGATAAAATCAAGAATTGTTTGGCTGAGGAATTTCACGAAGAACACCAAATGTTTGTTTGGATTAGGAGAAGTACAGTACTACGCACTATGGAGACTTTGGACAGGAAAACAAGGTTCGCCTTGGAATGGACGGCACTACGGTCTACGACAAATCTGGCGTGGCACCATCTCCGATCAGCCATTTCTGAATTCAAAAAACACATAGCCATATGTCCGGGTGTTTTTAAGGTTGTGTTTGGTTCACACTGAAGTTTGAAAGTTTGGTTAAAATTGGTACGATATGATAGAAAAGTTGTGTGTATGAAAGGTTTGATGTGATGGAAAGTTGAAAGTTTGGAAAAAAAACTTTGGAACTAAACAGGGCTGTTCACGCAAAAATTGAAAGTTTGGTTGAAATTGGAACGATGTGACAGAAAAGTTGAAAATTTGTGTGTAGAAAAATTTTGATGTGATGAAAAAGTTAAAAGTTTAAAGAAAAAAATTGTAACTAAACAGTCGAACTGTTGAAGTTATCATCGGAATAGCAGCAAAAGCCTGAATTCAAAAAACCCCTCTAGTCCTTTCCACTATCCGTCTCTCTCTGACTGCAGCGGATGTCAGCCAAAAAGCCGTAAAAAAGTCCCCTGCTGGCACGCAGACGCAGCCACGCAAGCCCGGCCCAATTCAAAATGGCTGCCACCCTCAAACGGTCGGATCCCACCAGCAGCCAAAGCAGCGATCCCCACCACCCGCTCCCCCGATCCGACGGTCCAGATCTTCCCCCAGAATTCAAAACCTCGTTTGAAACGGCGGAGCACAACGCCCATCGGGGCCAATCCAGCTATTGAGTGAGTCCTCGTCTCCTCGGGAATAAATTCCGAAACTCATCCCCAACGCGAGGGCAGAGGGACCTGTCGGGCAGCGGCTACAACTACAAGAGAGGAAGAGCGAGGCTGTGAAGGAGGAGGAGGAGGACGGCCGCGTGGGGTGAGTTGGTGTAATGATTCACCAATCCTCTCTCCATAGCTGAAGCTTCTCGCTATGATGATGGCCGGCGCTTGATGGTGATTAGCGTCTCGTTGATCGCAGCAGCAGCAGCAGCAGCAGGAGGAGGAGCGGCTATTCTTCTCGGCGCGCTGGCGATCGGCGTCGCTTCGAGGAGGGGGAGAGCGGCGGCCGCCGGAGGCGGAGGAGAAGGGGAGGAGCGGATCGGAGGTAACTATAGCCAGACCTTGCCTTTTCTTCCCCCCTCGCGTAATTCTTTTTTTTGTTACTACTGTCTTTACGCCTCGCTTTCTTTCTCGCTCGTGCTCGGTTGGTACGCTTCCAAGCTAAGCATCCGCTTTCTCTCGCCTCCACCTCTCCGGCCGCCGCCTCCCTTTCTCCGCCGTGTTCACTTTACATTAGATCCTCTTTAACTTTCTTATTTTTTTTAAAAAAAAATCAACTCTCAGACTGATCGAGAGATCGATTTGAGTGAGCTCTAGTTTTGAAAACCACATATAAGAGATAGGTTTCCTTCTCTAGAGTGTTCGCCGGCGATGCCAACGCCGCCGGCAACGACACGGCACGGCGGCGGTTAATTCCGTAGCTTTGGAGGGGTAGAAAAGTCACTTCACCTCACCTCACCCCAACCCACCCACCCGCTCCCCCCAAACAGCGCCGTTACTGCGTGCGGTCCAGTTGTCTAGCGACCACCACCCAATGACACCTGGGCCCCGCACGACAGATCCCCGACTTTGGATGCCAAAAACGGCGGGGCCCCGCACCCTCGCCACCTGTGCGTAATCGAGTACTAGTCCGTTCCGATCCGTGGGCCCGATGGTGTGTGGCGCTTCGGGCTCGGTCGGTTTGCTTGATTCGGCTCATGATGCGGTCCGGCCGTGTGAGGCTGACATGGTGGGCCCCACAAACCCGGTGCGCGCGCCATGCCAAGTTGCCACGAGCCCCCACGAGCTTTTAATCCGTGCGGAAAAAAGTGGTTGGTTGACGCGAAAAGGCGCCGTGTAATCGCCAGGTCGCATGCGCGGTGGCCGCCACTGACGTGTGGGCCCTGCCCGTCCTTTTTTTCATTCTTAACCTTTTTTTCATTTACTTTCGTAGCTAAACCATGGTTAAGTTGTTAATTATACTACCAATAATCTCGAGTCAGTCAAGGTGGAGTCTTTTTGGTTCTTTTTATTTTCCTTCGATGTGCATGCGTGGTAGGTTAGGGTTCATGATAAAAATGTGTAAAAGCATCCTGGTGGAGTTATATATGGCTGCAGCTTTTGACAAGAACTCGGTTCGTTTACGATACGTTCCCCCACGCAATTATTTCGCCATGATTCTTCTGTGTTAAGAAAGGGCGAGATCTTTGGGTTAGAATACAAGAAAGTCGTGTGAAAATTGTGGGCGATTAAATCTTCCCCTTTCGCAAAGCTTGTCTTAAGCACTCATCTTTCGCTTTAAATCGCAATCTTTTCTTTCAGATCAAAGCAAATACTAGGAGAACTAGCTAGGTAGCCCGCGCAATTGCTAGCACCCATATAAAATTATATATTTTTTAATATGATTTTACTTAAAATTTATTTAATAGTTATCTCGTTGTCTTGAGATTTGAAAGATCAAATCTTATCATCCTCGTGTTTCTAATTTTATAATTTTTCTAATAGTATAAGAGTTTTAATTTCAGTTTTTCTTTAATTGTGAGAACTGCGTCGCATGGGCCAGTCTGTTTAGTTGAGATGTAACATGCAGAATCGAATGCTGTAGCTCACAACAGTATACATTAGTTTTAGTATTCAATCCACTTGTTGATTTCATCCACTTTTCCTTTCGGTTGTTCTCATTCACTCTCCACCAACCTTGCCACCATTCTGTCCAGTCAAAACTTGAATTTGTTAAACCAAGCATTGATAATTTGTCAGAAAATTCCGGGAATTTTGAATAGGACTTTTTGTACCCAGCACGTCGTTTTTATTCTTTGTCACGAGCATTTACTTCTCCGGAATTCACATTTCGATCCAGAGAAGAACATCGGGCTGGGGCACTGTAGCAGCTCATCTCAGTGGGGCGAATGGTTAGCGGTAGCTTTCCAAGATCAGATTTTTGATTCGTTTTTTAAGTAGGATTCCTTGCCCATGTCTGCTTCTAGCTTCTTCTCGGCTGATTGCTCTTTTTTCCCAGATTTGTCTGCTTCGTTCTTGGCTGAACTGAGAGTGAGCACTAATCTACTCCATACTCCGAACACTGCAGATCACGAGGTGCGGTGTTGTAGCTTCGACCGAGGAATGAGCTTGCATTGCTGTCCGGCGGCCGGCGACCCGCCGGCGCCGGCCGGGACGGCGGAGGAGCTGCTGGAGCGGGCGCGGTCGCTGGTGCCGGCGGCGCTGGACGCGGCGCGCGCGGCGACCGGCTTCGGCGGCCGGTGGAAGGTTATCGCGGCGAGGCTGGAGAGGGTGCCGCCGTGCCTGTCCGACCTGTCCAGCCACCCGTGCTTCTCCAAGAACTCGCTCTGCCGCGAGCTTCTGCAGTCGGTGGCCGCCACGCTCGCCGAGGCCGCCGAGCTCGGGGCGCGCTGCCGCGAGCCGCCGAGGGCCGGGAAGCTGCAGATGCAGAGTGACCTCGACGCGCTCGCCGGGAAGCTCGACCTGAACCTCCGGGATTGCGCGCTGCTTATCAAGACCGGTGTGCTGTCCGACGCGACCGTGCCACCGGTGGCGCCGGCGGCTGAGGCGGCGGCGCAGACGGATGTGCGGGAGCTGCTTGCGAGGCTTCAGATCGGGCACGCGGAGGCGAAGCACCGGGCGGTGGATGGGCTCCTCGACGCGCTACGCGAGGACGAGAAGAGCGTGCTGTCGGCGCTCGGCCGCGGCAACGTGGCGGCGCTGGTGCAGCTGCTGACGGCGACGGCGCCCAAGATCAGGGAGAAGGCGGCCACCGTCCTCTGCTTGCTGGCCGAGTCCGGCAGCTGCGAGTGCTTGCTGGTGTCGGAGGGCGCGCTGCCGCCGCTCATCCGGCTGGTCGAGTCCGGCAGCCTGGTCGGCCGGGAGAAGGCCGTGATCACGCTGCAGCGGCTGTCCATGTCGCCCGACATTGCCCGCGCCATCGTCGGCCACAGCGGCGTCCGCCCGCTGATCGACATCTGCCAGACCGGGGACTCCATCTCGCAGTCCGCGGCGGCCGGCGCGCTCAAGAACCTCTCCGCGGTGCCCGAGGTGCGCCAAGCGCTGGCGGAGGAAGGGATCGTGCGCGTCATGGTCAACCTGCTCGACTGCGGCGTCGTGCTCGGCTGCAAGGAGTACGCCGCGGAGTGCCTCCAGAGCCTCACGTCGAGCAACGACGGCCTCCGCCGCGCCGTCGTGTCCGAGGGCGGCCTCCGCAGCCTGCTCGCCTACCTCGACGGCCCGCTGCCGCAGGAGTCCGCCGTGGGCGCGCTCCGCAACCTGGTGAGCAGCGCCATCTCGCCGGACAGCCTGGTGTCGCTGGGCGTGCTCCCCCGCCTCGTCCACGTGCTCCGCGAGGGCTCCGTGGGCGCGCAGCAGGCGGCCGCGGCGGCGATCTGCAGGGTGTCGAGCTCGTCGGAGATGAAGCGCCTGGTCGGCGAGCACGGGTGCATGCCGCTGCTGGTGCGGCTGCTGGAGGCGAAGTCGAACGGCGCGCGCGAGGTGGCGGCGCAGGCGGTGGCGAGCCTGATGAGCTGCCTGGCGAACGCCAGGGACATCAAGAAGGACGAGAAGAGCGTCCCCAACCTGGTGCAGCTGCTGGAGCCGAGCCCCCAGAACACGGCCAAGAAGTACGCCATCTCCTGCCTCCTCACGCTGTCGGCGAGCAAGCGCTGCAAGAAGCTGATGATCTCGCACGGCGCCATTGGCTACCTCAAGAAGCTCTCCGAGATGGACGTCGCCGGCGCCAAGAAGCTGCTCGAGAAGCTTGAGCGAGGCAAGCTGCGCAACCTCTTCAGTAGGAAGTAAAAACCGAAGCGAACGACCACCAGTAGCAGTAAGCTAGTAGCCTTCCTTTTTGCCGTAAACTGTATAAAAATCCCGTGCTGTTTTTCATAGCCTCTATGAAGTGTAAGTGGGGTGCAGAGAGCATCGGCGTTTATCTGATCTGGACATAAACCCGTTGTAATATCGTCGCCGTCTAATTCCGCTGTGTATGGAACTCTGAATCATTGCAGTTTCCGTGTCAGTGCTAATAATCATTTGCAATGTTCAGACATAATCATTTGCACTGTCTTTGCAGTTACATGACCACATTGTCAGTGTTCATAGCACAGAAACACCCAAGCTCTTGTAAGCAGATTGCATGGTTGAAGTACTGCTACTAATCACTGTCAATGGCTGCAGGTATCTTGTTATAAGCAGATTGCTGGGTGATTATTTCAGAGTAATTGGGGCATGATTTGGACAAGTCTCAAGCAGGTGACCGCACCGCACGCACGCGCCAATGATCAGTGTACTGGAGTACTGGTGAATGGGTGATGATTGTGCAGGTAAACGGGCGTAATCCGCGAGTGTTACGCGGCTGGTGATCGGTCCCCTTCGCCTTTTGCTACAGGTGACGGGCGATCAAGTGATCAACACATGCGTTGTTGATCCGGGAAAAGGGGTTTGCTTGGCCCAGCGAGAAGACAGATGAGCGAGTGATGGCTGGTGATTGAGCACCGCTGCGTGCGTCGATTCCGAATGCTTGTCTCATCTGCCACGGCAGTAAAAGCCAAAGGTAAATATACCTCATATAATAACCAGAGATGTGATATATTAGTACTATCATAAATTTGTTTTTCACAATCCCACGTATATCAATATAAAACCAAAAAGACTTAGAATATTCATACTCTATCAAAATCTCAATGCAATTATTCATCACTTTGTATACTCTCAATACAATGATTTTCTACTTTCACAAACTCCGATACAATAATTACTCTAAAAATAATCTTATTTTGGAACAAATGAAATGAGCTTAAAAATAAATTTATCATGGGACAAGGAAGTAACATTTAGGTAATATTTTTTTAGATGATTTATTGAAAGAATTTTTGAAAAGGCACTATTTTGTCCTAAAAAAGGTCAATTCTAACTATAAACCTGAACATACATGTATCCAGGTTAGCTAAGATTGGATTTTTTTTATAGGGCGGTTTGGTACACTGCAAGATGTAAAAGAAAGATTTGCAATGTGATCGAGTGTAGTAAACGTATAAAAGAGGATAATATGATATATTCCCTCTGTTCTTAAAATATAACAATTTTTAATATTTTAAGTTTGTCCCAAATAAAACCTCTTCACTGTTCCATTCTTAACCAGTCACAGTTTTCACAATTAAAATTCTCCATCACTCTTCTCTCCTCAACCATCATAAACTTATTCTATTTAATTTCACGTATTTTCTTAATTAATATTTGTATCCTTACCTAAAACTCCTTACATTTTAAGAGAGAGGTGATATTATGTACTTCCTTTATTTCAAAATAAACAAACTATATAGGATATGCCATATTTTTATTATTATTATGAATGTTTCAGGGACCACCTATACATTTGTCGACAAATTTTTTTCTAAAAATTTGACAGATATAATTATAGTACAATCGTAGTGTAATTACACTGTAACTTGCATGTAACTACAGTGTAACTTGTATATAAGTTTCACGTAATTTTGAATCGTTAGATCTATTACAATATTTGTTCTAGTGAGGAAGAAAAAAAATCACAACACACACATATGTGAAAGGATTTGTTCCCATGACCTCCATTTTACCGAAATAACATGTTACGGAGAGATTTTTGATAGTTACATACAAGTTACATTATAGTTACAGTGTAATTACATGCAAGTTGTAATGTAATTATACTACGATTGTACTGTAATTACATCCGTCAAATTTTTGGAAGAAAATTTGTCGACAAATATATAGCAAAATTGTTTCACAAGAACTACCACACGTGCCGTTCCATCGAAGCCTTTTTAGCATCTGAACTAACCCACTACGAAATTTCAGGGCCCAAAGGCCAGCAAACCGCGGGGAGATCTCGTGGGCTAGAAGACCGTAGCTTTATCCGGCCCATTCCAGAAAAGCCCTGCAATACGACGTACGCAGGTCTCCGTGCCGGTGTCTGTCCTCCCGCGACGGCGGAGACGTCCGGCCGCCGCCGGCGACCGAAGCTTCACCGTTTTCCATCCTAACCCACCGGTAAATCGATGCCCTTTTCCTTTTTCATTCTACCACCCAGGTTGCTTGCCCGTTTGAAAGGGCTGAATAGATGAATGGATGATACATTTTCTGAATTTGTTACAATATTTTAGAGTATAAAAGCATGAATTAATACAAGTTTAAAAGGTTATCTTAGAACAACATATTACAAACAATATATATATATATATATATATATATATATATATATATATATATATATATATATATATATATATATATATATATATATATATATATATATATATAAAATAAACGCACAATAACCTATAATCGGCGTAATGAACTAAGTTGAGGACCATGCAGAACATGAGAAAGAAGAGGTCCCAAGGGGGGACGGTAATCTTAATGAGATAATCCATTAGATGCCACTGAGTTTGTTATGAGTCTACGATTTACCATTGATTTTGTCACGTTCTATCACATGCCATCGACTTTTGCTTAGCCTCTATGATTTACCATCGTCGTCCGGTTATTCTCCGTTAGTACGGTACACTTTCGTCCAAATGACCAAAATACCCCTGAAACAAAAACTTTCAAATTTTGGATAAAAATTCTGAAATGTCAGACTTTAAGTTTTTGGCCAAATGTTGAATATTTACAATCTTATGTTTATGATATGGTATTTTGGAATTTTTGTCCATATTTTGGAAGTTTTTAGCTCAGGGTATTTTGGTCATTTGGATAAAATTGTACAGTACTAACGTAGACTAACCGGACGGCGATGGTAAATCATAGGGGTTAAATAAAAGTCGATGGCATATTATAGAACGCGATAAAGTCAGTAGCAAATCGTAGAGCTGTGACAAACTCAGTGGCATATAATGGATTGTCTCTGTAATCTCCGAACCCCATGACGGCTTGACCTATTTGATTTTGAACTGTTTTCTTTGGCAGTGCGCGAATGATTCTATTGTTTGCATCACTGTTTACACTGAGCGCATAATGGGAGAGTTGCAGCTTTTTTTTAAGTGAAAGTGCTGTTACAGTATCACTAGCCGTTTGCACAGTACTCCTCCTATACTTTTTTTTTTTTTGAAAACTTTTGTTCCTGTTCTTGGGCCAGATAAGCCCATGCATTGAACATGGATGTGCAACTAGTGACATAGGAGTATCGGATATGGAGTATTTATATAATAGATGTGCATTTTACACATGGATGTTTATGTCAACATCTAATCTCACTAACTATTCTGATCATGTAGACCTAGCAGCTACAACATGTAAAACGAGTTGATTCTAAATCGAAATTAAGTAGTAACTCGAACTTTGTGAAGTCATTTGGTCAATTTTAAGAGGTTTGACAAGTGTCAGTACAGGCGTACAGAATCTGTTAAGCTCAGCAGCGGAAGTCTACCAACCGAGGATTTGATGCCAACGAGGCAATGAGCTGTATAGAAGTGCAAATGGCAACCATTAACTTTGGTTTCATGACACCAAAATTGGGTTTTTTGAACTGTACCTTTGTTCATTCTTCTCATCCAACTTTCCTGCGAATTTATTTATTTTTCATTTTCGAAATGCAAACTGTTTCTTGGATAAGCTGACAGGAGTCACAGGACCTTATATTCTTGCCCATCACACCGAATCAGGTATGTGCCTCTTGCTAAACCGGTGATGGCGACCATATGAGGTAGACTGGCGATTTTATTGATAATCTCTCCTACCTGCAATGGTTACCTGTTTCTTGCATTGCAACTTTGCAACTGATAGTATCATGTATGGTAGTGTGGCAACTTGCATGATAGAGTGATTTTTACTGTGTTTGAGGAGTAACCAATAATTTTTTTTATTAATTTGTGGCTCCTCATCTCTACTCTAAAGAGAGAATATTATCCAAACAAATCTGCAAAGATGGTAATCTGCTATATGCGACTAATCGTTTTGTGTGGACCTAAATGATAGCAACATCTATCTCTTTTCTGTTGTTGTGGGGCAAGGTGTACGTTCTGCCAAAAGTATGAAGGAGACATGATATCGCTTGAAAAAGGATAAAAAGCAACTGAATATTTCAGTACAACGCTCTGTTTTATAACCAGCCGGACTCAGCCTTTTTCACTCTCAGTATTGTCACTGTAATAAGTTTATTATATGATTCAGCCGAATATTTCCTCCTGAATTTTTTCTTTCCTTCTCCCTGGAGCGTGTGGCTCATCCACTACGTATAAGGTGACAAAGAAAACAATATCATGCTGAAAATTCTATCATGTATTGGAGAGGCATATTAGCATATACTACATATCAGAAGCAAAGTTCAGGAAATTCTGTCAGATGCAGCCTGAAATTTTATCTCTCTCATAACACCAATATATACAACTTTCAGCAAGTTCTGAAGTAAGTCTACTACATCTCAAAGTCTCAAACTACTATACTGTTCTTATTGTACAAAAAAGGAAGGATGAACAGCCGAATAGTCAAAAGAGAGAACAATTTTCACGAACAGACGAGTTCTTCAGAACAGTTAAGAATCAGTTCAGCTCTGCAGGAGTACCTGCTGCCTCCAGAACAGTTAAGAATCAGTTCAGCTCTGCAGGGAGTACCTGCTGCCTCCAAGTCCTTCACAGCATCAGGGCCATGGAGTTGAAGCTGGAGAAGCGGCTGAGCATGTCGGCGGAGGTGAAGCTCGGGTGGGTGATGCTCCGGTGGAACTCCTGGAGCCTCTTGAGGAAGAGGACGATCCGCCGGCAAGGCACGAAGACGAGGGTCAGTGGGATGAGCAGTATGCCTAGCTCCATCACCGGCATGGCCACAGCCTTCACTGGTCGATGGCTCTATTCAACTCTTTGGAGTGTGGTGTGCTTCTCTCTCTTGGTAGTGATGTGGTGTGCCTCAAGTTGTTTATATAGAGGAAAGTGTTGCCATTGCCACCCACCATGAACTTGTTTGGACATTACTTTCGGTTGTGGGGAGCTGAACATTATGATATTTTTATTCCTTGTCATGTATACTGCCTTTATCCCACATGGATTTACTATTTCCTCTGTTCGTAAATACAAGGAATGC